CCCCAAAACCCCAAAACCCCAAAACCCCAAAACCCCAAAATATTTTATTTTTTAAATTTGACAAATGGACTTTGATTTGAATAATCAAGATCTGGTTCAAGACCACGAAGAGAAAATATGAGATCCAGATGATGCCAAACCAGCCATCACTGGTAATGATGCTCACTCCGGAGGGGATAACAGTGACAGTGAGAAAGAAGACCAACAGGAGGAGGACTTTAAAGTTGATGATAGCTGTCCACTTGAAGAGCAATTTCCTATGAGAAATACCTTCACATTCGGCGATTTGACTATTTCGAGTAATTTTGATGCTGGAAATTTAAGAAAATGAGTCAAAGCCACCACTTGTTCTGGTATAATTCAAAAAGATAAAAGTTCGGTCAAAGATAATGGTGACGATTGAACTAATAAGTTTGATATGTGGATATCCTGTGATGGTCTCCCATACAGGACATCCGGGATGCGCACTTGGTTCTATTTTTATGTTCTAGGAGCAAAGAAAAACCAAAAATTAAAATTCTCAGTCAAAAATATGAACAATCAAGGAAAATTATTGAAAATGGGACTTAGGCCTGTATATAGAGTAATTCCTAAAGGAAAGTACTGGCAAAAAGTTTCAGGAAATACTACCTGGAGCAAAGGGCAATATGGCCTAGAGGTGAATTTCGAGCATACTTTCACAGCCGGACCTTCAGAAAGAGTCTATTTTGCCTTTACTTATCCTTTCAGCTATCATGACATTCAACAGAAAACATTAAAAATTGAACAAAAACTTGAAAATAAAAGCAAATATGATCATGTTTATTATCACAAAGAGCTTCTTGGGAGATCTATTGAAAATAGAAGAGTTGATCTCATCACTCTAACCTCTAAAACAGGTATGACTGAAGAACACGAAGATCTGATCGAGAACTGATTCCCAGAGCATGAGGGGGATAAATCAAAAAGACCGTTTAAATTTGAAAATAAATAAGACTGTATTTCTTTCTGCAAGAGTTCATCCAGGGGAAACTCCTGCCTCTTTTGTATTAAACGGGATATTTGACATCCTTCTTAACACTAATCGGCCATACGGGAAGTATTTATTGGATTTATTCGTGTTCAAGATCATTCCATGCTTGAATCCTGATGGTTGCTCTAGAGGTTACTTCAGGCTCGACACAAAGTGACAGAATTTGAATCGGTATTATCAGAATCCTACAATCGAGAAACAGCCGACGATTTATGTGACGAAGCAAGCTATTATTCAGCAGTCTAATTATGGAGTTCTACAGTATTACATAGACTTACATGCTCATGCCACTAAGGTTGGGTGTTTTTTGTTCGGAAATGCACATAAAGCAGAACGAATGTTAGACAACCTCATGCTTGCTAAAATGATTTCAATGAATTCTCTAAACTTCGACATTACTGAATGATGCTTTTCTGAGAAAAACATGAAGGTTAAAGACTCTAAAAGCGGTCTATCAAGGGAAGGAAGTGGCAGAGTTGGGATTTACAAAGCAACCGATTGCACTCATTGATATACTCTGGAGTGAAACTATGCATCTGGAAAGAAGTTATCTCACCTGCCTCCGAAATACAATAAGGAGAAGAAAATAATTGAGCCAGAATCATACATAACTGATCCTAAAAGCTATATGTACAGGAACAAGCCACCAGTGTATAATATAGATATCTTCGAGAATATTGGAAGAGCAACTATGATATCTTTCCTAGACTTGGCTAATAAGAACCCTATATCCCGAGTGCCAAAATCTATTTATAAAGATGTTGAAAATATGCGTCTGGAGCTTTCCCTTCAGAACAATATAAATGTAGCAGAAGCTAAGAAAAGAAAGGAAGTGCTGCTCCGGAAATAAGCTCGAGCAACAAGAAAGAGCTACTCAGGGACCTCAGCCTTGGGTCCATAAAAGAGCAGTAATCACTCCTAATACTTCTAACAGGATCAGTAAACTTCATCGAGGGCAATCCTGTATCGGAGCAGATATAGTTATCAATAAGGAAGAAGAGAAGCCTACTAGGTCTGCTAAGCCTAGAAGTAGTTCATTAAATCACCATAATACGAATAAATCTAGGAAGTTACTAAGAAAACAAGGCACCAAATATACTAGAAATTCAAATCATCTGTCGATAAAGCAGCGTAAGAAAGGCCAGGATGATCGTGAGAAAGAGATGAGGAATACCAAGGAGCTTAATTGTGCCAAGATTGACAATATCAAAGAAAATCAAGCTATAAACCCTCATAACCAAAGCCATTTCAGATTAGAAAAATAAGTTGAAGAGGAAATTGGTAAATAAGAATTACAAAAATGGGTCAGTCAAAGGAATCGATGAGTTCCTTAGATCAAGATCAAAGCAGCCAAGACAAAGTGTCAAATTATCAGAGATTAATCCGTGTATCTCCACCTGTGGGTATAACAGAAGACAAGGTATGAGTTCATAGTAATCTTTAGATATGGGACAGTTTAGGAACCCTATGGAAAATCTAGATGACTCAGAAATATATCCTCCTAACACCAATGGTCAGAATATTTTTAAGTATTTCTTTGTCTTATGCCTAGAAACTCTTCATCTAATTCAAATAGCAGGGTTGGAAAACGGAATGCGAGCCACATAATCAATGGCCATCAGGTAAGCTTCTTCACAAACTTTCTATAGAACCTTACGGGAGAGACTGACTCCTACTTCAGGACAGGTCAGGATCATATAGATGAGTATCCTGATTTTCCACTAGAGATAGGTAAGCACTTACTCTAAATATAGAAAATGAGATAAAATATTTGAATAAGCCGAACCTCACCCACAAGGAAATCATTAGTAAGTGCACTTGTTGGTATCTTTGGCAATTAATGTCTGGTAAAGTAGCCCAGTCTGACGAATTGCACACCCAGGGCTCATGAATTCCCACCAATAATTAACCCTATATGTTTAGTGCAAAATAGACAACTTGCTCAGAACTATCCAAGATTGGGCAAATTTGATGACAGAAGTTTGGATGAAAGAGATTGCTGGGAAAATAGAGAGTACGTCCAGCAACACCATTTGAACGAATCCACCCAGAATTCGTCAAAGGTTATGGATATCTCAGATTCTAGCAGAAGTAGATTTATGAGTAAGAAATCAGGGTTTAGCTATAATTCTGAGAGTTCACCATTGGGGTTTCTCCTATAATATGGAGATTTACAGTATTAAGTGCTTTGAAGAGCAAATTAGAATTTTTCTGATTTTTAATTAGGCAATCAACTGACAGATCGACAAGTTGTTAGAAGTAAGAAATTAACATCTATGATACCTCTTTCTAGCCTTAAAATAATTGTAAATAGATTGAAATAAGGTTGACATCAAGTACCAATTTCCACAGATAGCTCATAAATCAAAATACACCAAATAGCATCTTAAATTCTAATGGAAGGATTCAGTTCATGCCTCCTTCAATTCCTGGTCCTAATGCTTGCACTGCTGTGAAGACAGGGATGCTGATAATCGGAGGTAATTCTATAGGACCTGGATCTAGTTATTACAAAGATCAGAAGATATTAAAGAAGTTGAAAAGAAGAAAGACGTTGTCAAAGATGCGCAACAATAAAAAGATAATAGTGAACAACTAAAGCTCTACATATTCATAGTTATAAATTCACTTTATAATTTATACGATATAGCTATGTTTTAACTCTATTTTGTTCAATCACTCTGACATTCACCGGGGTTTTGGGGTTTTGGGGTTTTGGGGTTTTGGGG